ATCTTATTAAGGTTGCTGAGGTTGAGAAACAGTGATGTAGAGGTTGCTCCAGGACTTCCTCTGACGTTCTTCTGTTCTCTATCTAGTGTCTGAAGGAAGATGCTGGCTGGGAAGGACAGAATAAGCGACACCACCCTGGGCCAACTGGGAAGTTGGATCCTTAATTGATTATTCTAAAATGGAAACCTTGCAAGGGTTCTTGGTCTAACCAGAGGGTACATGTTTATCTTGTCCGTGAAAGGGGTTGTCCACATCAGATCTCACTCTGAACAAACTTACCCACCCACGTCTGCTCCCCTTCCTGACTCGGAAGGCCACTAGTTAAACAAAGCTCGTGTTTGTAGATCTTGAGGGTTTTTTTTTTAAATGTTTGTGCAACATTCATGCATATTTATATTTATAACCTGTGTTGACAAGCAATGTAGCTGTTCTCCTTGGTGCTATACATCAGTGTTCCTCAACCTCAGCCACTTTAAGATGTGTGGACTTCATCTCCCAGAATTCCCCAGCATGGGGAATTCTGGGAGTTGAAGTCCACACATCTTAATGTGGCTGAGGTTGAGAAACACTGCTATAAACAGTGGTGAAATGTGTTTTTTCCCCCCCTAAAGGCATCTCATCTGAATTTTGGTTACTTGTAACTTTTTCGTTCTTAGGGTTCTTGGAAATTTCCTCATCTTCACCATAGCAGAATTGAGTTGTCTCAAATTGTGACGTCCTGGAATTGTTCACATCACGGCCCTTTTGGGTGCCTTTAATCTAGGAATGCACATACATGCATGCGTGCAAACAGGGTTGGGGGTTTGAACAGCTCCCTTAAAGATCGAATGGTAGCATTTACACAGCAGGCTAAACTAGGTTTCCATTAAAATTGGTTTGTTTGTTTCCACTGGGGCATAGCTGTTTGTGTGAACCCAACCCCTGGGTTCAACACCTTGTACAAACCCAGAAAGGGGGTTAATTCAGTAACCGGGTTAAGCCTGTGGTGCTAGTTGCAAAGGATGGATTTCTATCTAGGCTGGTTGCTAGAACGTACGCTTCAGTTAGCAGGTGGAAAGTGTGCAAATGGTTTTGCTCCTATCTTCCTGCTTGAAGCCAACAAGAAGAGATGCGTTTTTGAAAGATCCTTTGGATCATTAGCAAGTGGATCCATATTGCATTAGCAAGTGGATCATATGGACGTGGTGTGTCTGTTGGTGCAGAGAAGGCACAGAAGCCCCTTGGTTGTGAACCAGAGTCATCGAATCTGGCAGGTCTCATCAGCACGATCGTTCTTCTGCTTGATTGCTTGGGGGTTTCCTTTCTACCGTCACCATACCCGACCCCAGATCCTGGGAATAAAGTTTTTATAGGGGCCTTTCACCATAAGCTTCGTTGGGTATAGCTATGCCCAGTGTTTTAAGAAAGAAGGCAAGGCTTAATTAATCCCTTGAAAATGTTAGCCCTGGCTGAAACAAACTTCTGCAAGGCATGAAGAGATTATAGTATGGATTTCTATAAAAAGCCCCTATGTGTATTCTGCACTTGCTGAAAATAGGACAAACTTATTCAATAAAAAACATTTGTGAAATGTAGACTTCCTGCTCTTTTTTTTTTCCCTGTCCCTCTTTCTTTCTGGAAGCTATCAGTCTCCACCCCATGTCCTTTACTTAAGCCGTGGGCCAGGCTTGCAAATGTCACCTTGAGGAGGGACTCATCGCCCCTCCCAAGGCTGACCTCTTCCAGGGACCAGTTAAGGTAGGCATTTAAATCTAGCAAGACTCCGTTTATTTCAGAGGATGGTCTTGGAGACCTGGTCTTGGTTCAAGGTTGCAAGGTGATGAGGATTCACACATTGGTTCCCCCTCCCTGATTTTGTGGGTTTGGTTCCAGGGGGATCCAGTATCTAGTATGTGTATAATACTGCATTAGAAATGCGTTGTATTTTTATCATATGCTTTCTCATCACTTTGGGGGACTTGCATGCAACGGGATGTAATGTAATATCTCTTTTCAACAGTGTCTTGTTTTTTCACTCTGTATCAAGCTGGACATGGTCGAGTTTTAAAAAATTTGCAAAATCATGAAGAATTAGGCAAAATGTGTAAGCTGTTCCTCCCATTTCTTGGCTGTTTCTTTCTTGTTCCTTCTGTTAGCATTTCCTCTGTCCTGCTTGATGGGCTGGAGGAATGAAGTTTCGTTTTTAAAAATGAGTGGACTGAAAGCTGGATGTGAAAATGTCCTTGGTGTCGTCAACCCAACAAGGTAGGCCAGACTAGGAACCAATGCCATGTCAGCCAGGAGTACTTTTAGTGTGACAGCTATGGGAACAGAGCCACCCAGAGTCACGTTGATGAGATGGGTGGCTATATAAATTTAATAAATAAATAAATAGAATCTTGCAAGTCTGAATGTTTGTGTGAACTTTGTGTGAACTGGGGAGGGTCACGTCTAAGACATTTTCAAGTTCCTTTCTTGGCTGGGCTCAAACCCCTCATCTGACCATTGCCTTCTTGGTGTCTCTTCCTCCTGTCCTTCAAGGCCATTCCCTCTGCCCTCTGCAAGTGTCTAGCTAAAGCCTTGCTTTATTCTGTGCACAAAAGGATCACCTGTCACTTAAAGAGATCGTTGGAGCCCTGGAAAGATGTACTGCTCAACACCTATGTGTCTTAGATGGTCTCAGAATAAAAGCCAAGCATGGTCAAAGCTGGTTAGAACTTGGTCTATACGAAGATCTCAGGGCTATAGGCTAGACTCGGAAGTAAAAAAAAATCACTGTAGAAGGGAACCATTTCTCTATTGTTGCCCAGAAAGCTAAGACTTTTAAAGATATAGGAAGAGAGCTGCATTAGTCAATGTAGCCAAAAGTCAGAAGGAAGTCCAGTAACATGCTTTCTGACTAACACATTTTGTTAAAAAGCAGAAGCATCTGACTTTTAATAACACTGATTAGCTGGAAGAGATGCTATTAGACTCCTGATTTTTAAAGATATCTTGTAACTCACTTAGAAGCTGGGTGCTGGGGCTGCGTAAAACTTCCTGGTGGTGTCCCATTCATGTCCCACCAACCGTGACCCTGCTTAGCTTCCAAGCACACAGGTGCCGCTGTGTGCACTGTAAATGTTTTATTTTAAAAAAGAATGTTAGTTTCACTAATGCATATTTATTTATTTATTTAAAATTGATACATGTCACCCATCTCACTATAACATGCAGTCTCAGTGCTATTTTTTCATGTTCTTTCACATCCTGGTTATTAGGGTCAGAGCAAGCTAATGAATTGGCTATGACAATTCAGCCCGCAGGGGTTTGCCCCAGGACAGTGTTTGGGAATTGCTCAAGGGTCAAGGCTTGGGGTGGGGAGTGGGCCCTGAATTATACCCCCACTGCGAGCAACATATATTGGGGGTTCTTGCCTTTCATATGCCCTCTGGGGTTTTCCCAGATGGTTTCTCCTTCATTGGAAAGCGACGGCTGGTTCACGCGTGGCCCACGCGTGGTCTCAGCCGTCGGAGCTCTGGGTCAGCTTCTGCGGGGTGGGGTGGGGGTCGGGGGGAGAGACAGGGAGACAATGCTTAGGAGATTTAAGGCACGTCGTTTGCTTTCAGCATCTGGACTTGGAAATAATTTATCTGCTGTGTGTGCATTTTGCTGATTATGCTAACACACAATCCCTGCGAGTCTGTTTTTAATCTGGATGCTGAAATGGGGCTTCATTTTGCAAAACGTAGGTCGCACCACTTTTTAGACACAGTATCCCTAATATTATGTGCACGCGCACACATAGACAGACATGCCCTTCTTAAATATATTGTTCCCAAAGAATAATTGACCTCCATTTCTCACACTGGGGTTGGGTCGGGAATAATCTGTGAAAAAGTTTCTCCTCTGAGAATTGATGACGTCTATCATTCCTTGAAGGAAATCTGGCATTACCTACTTAGGTTTGTTGAATCCTAACCAAATCGAATTACAGGACAACATTGTTCTCAGCTGCTGTTTTATGCTGTGTTAAAGTGATTTCTTTTTATAATTATTGGCTTTGTTTCTACTCTGTTTTTATTTTGTTTTCACTGTTATCCGCTCAGAGTCATGGATATGAGATGGAGGGGGGGCCGTATAAATTAAATCAATGGTGACTGTGAAATAAAATAAAATAAATAAATTATGCCCAGTACATTCAGTGGGACTAACTCTCAGATAAACAAATGTAGAATTGCAAACCCGCCCCCCGCCCCCAAAAAACAGGCCTGTGGACACAGGTTGGCGCAATATGCTGAATTTTAACAAAAGAGGTGCATTAGTAGAACATGCTAAAACATATGCACACAAAAACCCCTTGACCAAGGACATACATGGAGGCTGTGTTCACATTTAACCAAGATTCACATGTGCTAGACCTTTTACCTGATGTGAGTTATGTGAAGACAGAATTCATGTATGCTTTAGGTGCACAACACATTAATTAAATCTGCACAGTTAGATTGAATTGAAGCAGCTTGGAAGTGGTTATTCTACATCAGTGATTTTTAAACTTGGCAATTTTAAGACGGGTGGACTTCAACTCCCAGAATTCCCCAGCCAGCATGC